CCATTCAGTGCCAAAACTATGCTGCATGCTCCTTGCTCTCCAGCAACCCACCCAAGCAGTGGAGCCTATATCACTTTTCTTTATTTTGATAGAAAGCCAGAGTATCTTGCTCTGGCATTATGGGAGTCAACACTGTATCCTGTTTTGTAAAATGGATAAGAAACCATTGTCATTAATAATTTAATAGCCAGATGCTGTATACAGGTAGCAGCAACAAATACTACCAGTTATAATAGAAAGTATGTGTCATTGATGCCAGTATATTTGGCTATTCAGAGGATTTTGACAGCTATTTCCCTTGCATTTCTCAAAATTAGATGTACTGTTGAATGCTAGTCTGCCAGGACAATAATTTGATGTGCTGAGATTATATCATTAATGTCCAAATCGTTGATCACAAGTGACAAAGCTGGAATCTGAGTTATTTATGTAAGGATTAATTGTAAAGTGTATTTTTTATACAAAATTATTGGTATTTCTAAACCTTGTTTTAACCCATTGCCGACGGGCATGGCATGTACGTACATTCCATGCCTACTGTGAGTTTATTTGTTTAATTATTTTTAGACATAGATGGCTACACTTGTACTAAGTCACCAATGAGCCAATTATAAGTACTGTCTGTCTCTCCCATTTGCCCTTTTCATTGATTTAGGAAAATATTTTACGTTATATTAGTTTGCTTTTACTAATTTTTATAACATTATAGTAATTATAATTTTTATAATAAAAATAACACCATCAATATTCATAATACTAGTAAAAAAATACATTTTTCATGCCAATTCAAGGAAATGTGAAATCAGGTAAGGTCACAAGTTCTAATAATTGACTCCTTTGTCGCTAAGCACTAGCAGAGCCATCTATGTACAGCGACATTTCACAAAAATATAAAAAAGGAGCACAGCATTTTCCCCATTTATTATTCATTTTCCCCGGCAGCAATGGGTTAATTTTGTGAATGCCTTTACTTTGGCTCTGAAATTTTGTGCAATAGTATAACTTCATTTTTAAGTTGTGAACTAGTGTACTCTTTAAGAATATAAAAAAGCTGGTCTTAGTGCTTGATAGACTTTGTTATATAAAAGGTGAAATAAGATTGAGGTATTGTAAAGTTCAGACTTTAGGTAATTAGCTTTTTTGATGTAGTTAGATGTTGATGCAGTCAGCCTTAAACTAGACACACAATTTTTTAAAGACTGATTATAATGTGCCAACCTTCCTGCCCTCAGTCACCCCAGCACCATGGGTCAGGAAGTGGTGGTGCCAAAGGATTATTGGGTATGGCAGCAGGTGCAGGGACAGCCCTTGCAGGGGCCCTTGGAGCATCACATTTAATTGGGGTAAGTTTGTATGCATTTCTAGGCAATTGCAGCTTTTTGTATATAAACAAATAATGCCCCTACATGTTATGAATTTTTATAAGTTGACTGCCCCTGAAGATAAGAACTATAATTTCAGAAATCCAAGGGTGGATACCCAGGTGGTGGATACCCAGGTGGTGGATACCCAGGTGGAGGATACGCAGGTGGAGGATACCCTGGCCATGGGGGCTCCCATGGGGGAGGAATTCTGAACAAGGCCTTGGGTGTTGGAGGAGCTCTTGCAGGAGCCAAAATGCTCTCAAAGCCAGTACGTATGATCCAGATTATTTTTTTCATGGTAACTTGAATGTGAAGAGTTTAGTAATGGATATTTGTTGAATTATTTCCATAAATCACAATTAGGAATATGCACTACCTATGCACTTCTTTGTTTTTCAGAGGGATATAGATTTCATTGTAATGTTCTGCTTTCTCTTTGTTTATCAGAGTAAAGCCATGAAATATGGAGTGCCACTGGCCGGCTTGGGAGCCCTTGCTGGAGGAGGGTACATGATGCACAAAGGCTTCCATCATGGGTCTTCCTCCTCTTCAGGCTCCAGTGAAGAAGAGTAAACTGTTGATTTGCTTAGTGGTGGGTTATGGTGTCTGTGACTGAATATTTGGCCAGTTTTGCTTTAGAAAACCTTTTATTCTTTTATGTCATATATAATTCTAGTATAGCATATTAATGATATCTGTTGTAAAGTAAATTTTGAACCTCACAAGTCAGGCAGTCACTGGCCCAGCACTTTTTGATTTTAATCTGGCAGTCATTAGTTTGCATGACCATCACTTAGCCAGTTCTGGCACTACCACCACCCCATATTTTTAACATCTATTACAGCTTCCTTATAGTGACTGAAGCTATTATATTGCCTTGGATTACCAATATTTTACCTCAGTTATCAGTAATATGCTTCAGTGTTTGTATTTTGTCTTTTATATCCTAATCCTCACTGGGTTCCAAACTTCCCAGACAGGTGAGGTTCAACCTGTAATAGGGAATTGGTAATGTTTAGTACACATTACACATTTTGAGTTATATTTTGTTGGAATGCTTCATAGATACATACATATATACACACATAGATATCTATATTTTTAAAATTAGATAAATAACCCATTAATTATTTGAAAATCTCATATGAATAATTTTATTGTATACTGCCCCTACCATTTTGTTCCATAGGGACAACTTGGAAACCTTCAAGTTATTTAGGAATGTTAACACAGTATTAAGTGCATAGCTAAGAAACTGTATTATGAAATAACATTGGTTACCTATTGTTGTATAATTCAAAATATAAAGGTATAGATATTCTTTATTGCATATAACATTTAACCCATTGGTGCCAGGTACATGCACTGTCTGTACACTCCAGATTTCTTTTGTGAATGCTGTTTACATATGGATGGCTCCATCACCATGCCAGATTGCCCCATTCCAAGAATTTTTGCTATTTTTCTTTTCCAATGATATTTTTATTATTATTATTGTCATTGATACTACATTAACCAATACTAGTGGCAGTAAAAATAAAACAGTAAAAGGAAAAGGGTAAGCAGGCAAGATTAGGTAGGCCTAGTAATTGCCTCTGTGGTGACTAAGCACCATATCTGATTACTTGAATTAGCTTTGCTTTGCTTTTTACTAAAACTATGAATGGATGGCATGTACGTACATGCCATCCCCATTGGTTTTGGGTTAATTAAGATGTATTAAAAGTATTTGTAAATTCTGCATTCTGACACAATTAGAATATTACTTCCCTTACTGCAGTAGACAGTTAGTCTGTCCATCTCTTGCTTTTTCTGCATTTTTTGTTCACTCTTTCTTCATTACACAAGTACAGGCAAAGCATCTGTGTCTCCATGACAGCATGCAACTGATCCTTTTTCACAGGTACTATGATGTCAGCGGGGTCATTATATGACACTCATACAAAATATGTATGTATATATGTACATTGATGTATGTGTATGTACAAGCACACGCGCATACATGTGAGACTCACACATGCACACACACACACACACACGCACACGCACACATACGCACACACACATACGCACATGCACACTCCTGCACACATACACGTACACAACACACAAATGCAATTTCATGATACAGTTTTCTTTGCTTAATATTAACTGCTTTGCTATGCAGTTATCTCACAGTTTACGTGTTTCCAACACCTCAAAATATAAGATACAATAAATGCACAAAGTTGAATTGTTTGCATAAGTTTTTAAAGTTTCTGAGAAAGTTTCATTTTCTTATCCCAAACTTTCAGTTCTTACAGTAGTTCTTAATAATCCCCTTAATACAAAATTTGTTCCTTATCTTTGTTAAATCTGTTGAATGACTAGAGTAGGATATGATATTAATAATTACCATAATAATGTGTTACATACTAGTACTTGACAAATGTTTTTGTTCATGTATATATCAAACAGCTGTAGGGGCAAATATTTTGTATTGTTGCTGGTATCTTAATGTAATAGGTGCTGCCTTATATATAATCACAATAACATTATATAGAATTAGCATTTATTAAGTAGAGTTAATTATGCAGCTCAAGCAACTGTTTCTATAGAACTTGTATTGTCTTCTTAATTTTAGTTAATCAGTGTGTGATGAAACCATACAAAATCTGTCAGAAGCTAGATTCTTAATGCATAATAATCAAAACATACTTACCTAGATATATGCAGGTGAGCTGTACTCTAAATGCCCACAGATAGGCAGTCACTACATCTCACAGATAACTATCTTTTTTTTCTGCCTTTCTTCTCTTCATCTCCTGGCTTTCACATTGATATATTTGTATGTAATCAAAAAGCTGTACCATTTGTATCCACAAATAGTATGGCATATTGCTTATTCTCAGGAGATATTATAAGTGGCTTTATCTAGAATATACTCGTACATACTTTATATAAAAGTGCAATATCATAAGTGTGCACTGTTGATAGACTTCTTGGTTCTTACCAAAGGTCCTTTCTTCAATGAGCTAGTCAGTGTTTTCTACTGATAATATTGTGCCTTCTTGCTTATATAATTAGAAAAAGGCAAAAAGTATGTTAAACGCTGGTGTTTGTTGAGGGAAGTTTAAAGGATTTGTATTCAGTTTCTCAGATATTGTCATATGCCCCACTCATGATCTTTTGAGTAAGCAAAGATAATTTCCCCTTAAATAGTATCTAGATCCATTAAATACTTTGAATTTATGTTTAGAATACAGAATATATCCATGAAATTTATTCCGTCCCCAAGAGAAGTGGTTCCCTCACTGTGTAGAGATAAGGATATTATGAATCTCGTATAAACCGTGTTATGCATTCTTCTTACAGAAAATATGTATAGTTTGAAGTGCAGTGAAAGCATACTCAATTGGATAAAGGATAAAATCTGTAATAAAGATATTTATTACTCATAGTGTCTACTTAATATTAAATGTTTTAGTTATTTTTTCTGTTATTTTTTATGTTTTCATTATGTTATTTGTGGCAAAAGATAGTAGATATTTGATACATGATTTCAAATCCTTAATGTTAGTAGACTTTATATTGTATTAACAGAAAATTTATATCTATATTCAAGCTTATATCACATAAAAGTTTTATCAAGCAGGATATCTAAAAAAATATATATCTGCTGTTAAGTAGTTTTGTTTAGATAATATGCATTTACACTGTCAATTCATAATGTAGAAATTTGTACAACTGATGATACACTGTTTGAAGCATATAATTGTTTTGTATTATTTGTATAATAAACACCTCTGTTAACCCATGCTGATACAGTGATTGTTTCAGAATTCTTAAAATCAAAATGTAATAAAACATTAATTATTGTTATGGAATGCAGTCTGAATTATTGGTTGTCAATTTTATATGCTAAACCCCAAACCATTTGAGCCATTGATATATAGCCCATGAGCACTGGCAAATTAAGAAAAATGTTTTATAATTTTTATAGTATCTACAATTTTCAAAGCAAAAGAAAATAAGTGGTATGTAAATCCACAAAATGTAATGTATGGCAAAATATGTTCTAATTAATGTCTAACTTCCAACCAAATTACATGGTCCAGCAGCTACTATTATATCTTTATGATTTTACAGAGGTATGTCATTTTGTTCCCGAAACAGTATTTTGACTCGATTTGTTTGTTAATTATGTGTGAAGATTATCTTTTTCACCTCACCATCTTTATATTTTTTGTTACTAACTAAATTCTTGATATGGAATATATTCTATGACTGATAAAAGCTGTTCATAATTCTTCCTGGTTTATGGTATTAACCCCTCAGAGATGGGTCCCAAAGTATTGCATGTGCATCGGCCAGCCACCACTTTTTCCACATTCCTCTAACCCCGTACGATCTCAGTAAAGGATATACTGTGCAATTCAGTCTTAATGGTTATCAGCTATTTCAGTAAGGCAAAATATAATTTTTAACATTTAGATTTATCTGAAATATTCTTGTTTGTAAGAGATACTTCACTCCCTTTCGCTCATTTGTGAGGGAGTGGCCTTTCTATTTCATGTTATTAAAATCCAAGTAAAAAAAAATATATATATATATATATATATATATATATATATATATATATATATATATATATATATATATATATATATATATATATATATTTATATATTATGTTAAAGAATGTTCACTATTTTATTTGCACATGCAATGGGTATTCTCTATCAAGGCTTCCAAAGTAAACATTATATCTTTATTTCTATGTCCCTTCAACTGCAGGAGTTTTGTTATATTTTTACAGTTAATACCATTAAACATTTATTCAAACACTGTTTTCAATAACCACTAACATTTTGTCCCCCCCCAATCCCTTGCCCATTGTTGCTGTTGGGGGGGCTTAGAGGACAGAGACTGGGACCAATGCTAGGGTATCCTTGCCTTGGGCAGTCCCTCTCTGTCCAACCATGTCAGAATTGTTGGCATCTAGGCCATCCTGCCAAACACTGCCACCCCACAGCCCAATGCCCTCTATGTACCCAACCTGGTCATTATAATGTTGCTCTGCACAATTACACACATGTGCCAATTGTAGTGGCTCCCATAATGTAATTTATAGGTGTTGCCCTACCTACTAGTTTGAGTCTGAGATGACAATATTCAGATTCAATCTAGGCCTAACTTTATATGAGGCCAGATAGGAAACACTGTACCTTCACTCCGCCCTTCTCCCTTCCCCTCCCTCTTAAGATGTTTCTTTATCGTCCCCAGTGTCTCTTCCTCATCCCACTTCTACCCCTTTCCTCTCCCAGTTAAATTCTTTTGCCATTCTAAATCCAGACACCCCAATCTCGACCACTTTTCCAGACTCTCCAATCTGTACTTCCTCTTCGCCCAACTCATCACGCAAGACAAGCTCAGCATTCTACTCCATCTTCTCTTACCCCATCCGCTTTTACATCAACATCTCCCACCCCTCAAACATCTGGTCCTTCTTCTCCCCCTCATAAGTAAACTTTTGTTTCTCAGACCTCCCCAACCAACTCCACTTCAGAAACACTCGAAGACCTTCAAAATCATGTAATCAGGACCCAAGATAACCTGCCTACACTTCCTCCATCCTCCAATTTCTCTGCTCCCATTCCTTCTACGCTCAAAGTAACTGTCGACATTCGTCCTCCTCCCTCTCATGATAACCCTACACGCCTTCCTCTCACTCCTTCCCAACACAATCCATTCCCCCCTGCTTCAGCTGCATCATCCACTCCTTCCTTCCGATTCCCCCTTTGTCAAAATAACCCCTTTCCCTGGATGCTCTCCCCCCTGACATTTTTTCCTGAAAATTTTCCTCTTTCCTTTAGCCAATCCCTACCTCAGCTTACCAATGCATCCGTGCAGAATCTCACACTTCTTCCTATGACACCTTGGATCTAATCACGCCTGTTAACCCCTTTCTTCCTGAACTGCTGTATGACACCTTTTCCACTTTACACCATTTTGTAGTGCGACATGACCTTTGATGTCTAACACATCTAGCTAATCAAAATGTTATTGAGTCTTAAATATCACTGTCTTTAATAAGACTAGATCCTTAGATTAGATATTAAATTGTCATATTACTTAATGTACAGTAAAAAGTAGCTATATGTTGCACCCATATGGCCTGCTGATACATGCACAGCCACATAGGTTTTACACATCAAAATTTCAGTGCATGCACTGAAATATTAGTGCAGTAACATCCGATATCAATTATACCTGCACTAGTTCAAAACGTAGTGATTTATTTTTCTCTTTATCTTAGAGTAAAAGAAAAACTCAATTGGAGCTAAACTGAAATGCGATATAGATAGTGCATAAACCTTTAAATTTAGCCATGCACGTCAGAATAATGTTTACAGATCCACACTGATAGCCATCGCATTCACTAATCCATCCATGAACTGTAGACCAACTATGATTCCGTTATTCAATATCATTACCAGTGTCTTGGGCATTTTAGCTGATATTTCTTCCCAATTGCTGGCTCTCTTTTTCCAGACATATGATGTTTGTTGCTGATTGCCAACCTGTGTAGCTCTCACTTGAACTTATAAGCAAGTACTGACAGACTAGGAAGTGCAGCTAAAAGTGTTGTACCAAGTTTAGTTAGCATCGAGTCCTGTTTCACTTTTTTATGGTAATGTGGGAGATTTGTCGGGATTTCTACCTAACTGTTCAATCCTTGTCCAACATAGATTTTTTTGGAGTATCTGATGAAGTCCACTGATCCAGTCATGCATTTGATCAGTTAGAAGGACAAGCAAGCACCAGACGAGCATCATAATGACAAAATATTCAGTGTGCAGTACCTTCCTGTATTCTGGATTCATCTCCATGCTAACTGCTTTAGCTGGAAATAGCAGACTGTACAGCAGTAAGTAAGGTTGGGTGTATTCTGAAGGTTTTTATGACAGAGTTGAAGATTCACCATACAGAAAATAAGCACAGAGGTTAAACACACTATTGTGGAAAATATGAAGTGTATGTGGTTGAACATACTAAGTAGGCGCTACTTTAATCATCACATTTTTTTAATGAAATATGTGGTGATGATAATATTAGCACTACTACTAATACTAATAATGTTAATAATGATGATAATGCTAATAATAGTAATAATGATGATGATGATAATAGATGTGGAATTCATGTTGAACAAATTGCAAGTAGAACAATGAAGGGAAGTACAGGAAAACACACGCATATGCCGAAAACCTTTTCACATTTACTGTTTCATCATGCCATGATGAAGCAGTAAATACGAAAAGGCCTTCTGCATATGTGTGTGTTTTCCTGTACTTCCCTTTATTGTTCAACTTATAATAATAGATGATAATGATAATAAGAATAATAACATTATTATTATTATTGTTATTACTATTAATATTATCATTATTATTGTCATTATCATTAATGCTATTACCATTACTATCAATATCATTATTGATGTTTTTATAAAAAATAGCAGTAGTAGTAGTAGTATCATTATTATCATTATCATTATTGTTATCACCATCATTATCACTATCACTGTCCTTATTAATCATTAATATTATCATCATTACTGTATTGTCATCATCATCATTAATATATTATTATTATTATTATTATTATTATTATTATTATTATTATTATTATCATCATTATCATTATCATCATTATTAACATTATGGTTATCATCATCATCAATATCATTATCAATATCACTATCACTGTCACTATCATTTTTTTTTTTTTTTTTTTTTTTTTTTTTACCTCCGCCAAGGAGGTTATGTTTTTGACGGCGTTGGTTTGTTGGTTAGTTTGTTTGTTAGCAGCCTAGCTCAAAAAGTGCTGGCCAGATTTCATCGAATTTTTGGGGACAAGTCAGAAAGGGACTAACTTAGAACTGATTAAATTTTGGTGACATTCCAAATTACCGTCTGGCTATTATTATTATTATCATTAATTAATCAATAAAGTACACAAATCTACGGTAAATGTGTACCACATTTCACTGACATTCCGAAGTACCGTCTGGACGCAGCAGCGGTGTAAGTACATTATATACGCACCTTGGCGGAGGTCTGCACTCTCTGAGTGCTTTTCTAGTTTATCATTATTGTTATTATCATCATTCTCATCTTTATTGTTATTATGATCATTATTATTGTTGTTATTATTTTTTATCAAGGTAGAACAACCAGTCCTAAATCTTAGTCTTACAGACTTTATGAGAGATAGTGAGTTACGGGTCATTAAAAAGCAGTGAATGGGGAAGAAGGAAGGAAGTATGTGTGTTTTAAGGCGAAAAGAAGTGTGAAGGAATAAAGTGGTGCTGAGCACACTGCCATGCAGAACACCTTCGAACTGAGGAAAGATGGTGTGGAAGAGGCAATTTTGATCCACAAAGTTCATTTGGAGAGGAAGGACATGGTTTCCGCATTTGCCTAATGGTTAATAGTTAATACAAATAAATGTGCTATACATCAAGGTCATTAAGCACTATGGTAAAGTAAATAGCAACTAGGGTTAGGATTGAGTTAATGAAGGGGAAGGAGTTAAGGGATTAGGACAGTTATATCAAATGAGGGATATATATATGCATCTGAGGAAGGAGAATCAATTGTCTAAGGAAAAGGCAGGGGATTCCGAGAGGATGTCCAATAGGTTGGGGGTTTGGGTAAGTGAGAATAAGTCAGGAAAAACAGAGGTACGGGTTGCTGTAAAGTGGGGACAGGATGGGAGGATGTGTGGTACTGAAAGAGGGACACTGAAGAGGAGCATAGAAGTGAAGCAGATTGTGACATGAAATAGTAATGTGGAGGCGAATGTGCTCAATGCGTAATCAGGCAAAATCAGTTTCCCAGCGTCTATTCTTATGGAACAGTATTGACCAAGGGGAGATAGAAGGTTTAATTTTAGGAAGTCTATTAATGGTAAGCCTAGACTAGAAAGACTGTCAGTGGGTGGAGGAAGGGTTTGAAGTTTGGGTAGTAGTCAGAGGCTGGTATATGTGAAAATCTGGGTTGACAGGATGTGGACAAAGTGGAATGTGTTAGTATATCTAGCTGTTCATTACCGGGGATCCCAATGTGACTGAGTATCCAGCAAAAAGTTTTACATAGTAAGTCCATATCAGTGGTTCTTAACCTTTTAAGTTCCACACCCCCCTTTAGGAATTTGGAGAGGCTAGTTGATAAAGGAGGGGCAAGTCTCAATGTCCCCAATATGGGTACAAAATCTTCATTACTGACCATGGCAATCCTATAA